CGGCTTTATAGATGGTCTTGTCGGTCTTCCTATTTTTTTTCTTCCAAAATTGTGCTGAGCACTCTAAATCTTTGCCCTCTTCATATAAACTTTAGCATCATTTTGTCAATACCCACTGACTTTTAATTTTTTTGTTGAAGTGGACATTTTTAATGTTACAGTGTGTCTACTCTCAAAATCAAATCTTTGTTGTTATTTCATGATTTTCCTCAACCCTTTCCCCAAAGTCATATATTATCACTGAAGTCTCTATTCAATTAATTTAGTGCTCATAAAATGATTGGGCAGATCGTTTTTTAGACATGTTGAACCAGTATGTCACCTAGCCTTGGCTGAGGAGCTCTTTGTGCAAGTCACATAAGGGTTTCAACACTTCAGTGGGAAATTGACAACTTTGCCTTAGCCTTTGTAGATGATCAAAATCAGTCAAGGCTTGGCAATTAAGGCTTTCTCTGGGATTTCCTCGGGATGCACAGAGTGCACGTATGTGCTTGGCCCTCTCAATTCCTGCAAATATGTTGGAACTTTTCTAAGTGTTCAAGGAAATCTCACTTCTCCAGCTATTTCCTTTAAGCTTCTTGGTCTGTGTCTTGTTTGGTTAGACCCTCATCACTAATTCAAGTGGCTGTGGTGTTAAATGAATGCCACTAATTTTTTTTTGACATGCACCTTGAACAAAAACACTTAGAGTCAGATCAAATTAAATGATTCCTGTGGATGGGGTCTTTCAAGGAACTCCCAGGCCACTCAGAAAATGAAAATCCTTGGGAATGGAGAAATTCTGGGTAAACCTAAATTCATTCCATGTCTCCAGTGGCAGACAGGCTGCTGGTTCCTACAGCTACTCTGATTGCAGCGATACTGGATTTAAAGCTTCCTGATGAGCTGGGTAAAGAAGCAATGAAATAGGGCACATTCATATGCCACATTCAAGCATTTATCTTTAATAAATCTTAGTTTGTTGTCACCCTATATCAATTTTCAGCTTTTAAAAAGTTGATTTTGAGAATATTTGCCAGCACAATAATTCCTGTTATTTTTATGAAGGTCATTTTTCATTTTCTAAGCTCAATTTTCTTAATATATAATTTGCATTTTAAATCACCAATTTGAAATATGTGGTCTCATGAATTTTTTATATATGTAACTATTACAATCATAATATTAAACATTTTGTTCTAAAGAGCATATTATAGTACATTATATAGTATATAGTATATTCTCTTTATATGTGATTTGCTTCATTTGGGATAATTGCTTAGAGATTCATCCATTTTGCTGATTGTGTTAGTAGTCAGTGCCTTGAATTGCAGAGTGTTCCTTTGTATAAATACTTGGTTTTATTTCCATCTACCAGTCAATAGACATTTAGGTTCATTATAATTTTTACTGTTTTATTAATATGTATACCATGCACAATCAAGTACAAACCTTTTTATGACTATATGATTTTTCTGTATCTTGACTACATAACTAGGAGTGGAATTGGTGGATCAGATGTTAAAAATAAGTCACATTTTATAGAAGAAAAAAAGTGCCAAGCTGATTGCCAAAAAGACTGCACTTATTTGAACGTGTAGATTGTTCTGCATTTTTGCCAACACTTTGTTGTTTTGCTTTAGGCATTCTGCTATGTTTATACTGGTATGTTGTTATTCCAATTTGCATTTTCCCATGATTAATGATATTGGATATATTTTCCCTTGCTTATTTTTATTTATATATATCTTCTCTTGAAAGTGTCTGTTCAAATGTTTTATTCATTTTAAATGTCAGGGATTTTTTACTTATTATTGAAAAATGATCTTTATATATTCCTGCATGTCATAGATACTGTGTGTGCTTTGCAACTATTTTCCCAAAGTAGAAAAACAATTGGTACAAATACCTGAGAATATGGGTAAGTGGAGGTCCCAACATTGCAAAGCCAAATCTAGTCAGTCTCTAGCTTTGGAGAACAAGGAGCAAGTATGTGATCTAATGGTTAAGATGCTTGTTATGATGCCTGTATCCCGTATCAGCATGCCTGAGTCTGAGTCCCTGCTCCAGTTTCCAATTTCAGCTTCCTGGCAGAGCCGACCTTAGTGGGCAGCAGTGATAACTCAAGTAAATAAACTCTCCTGCCACCAACATGTGGGTCTGGATGGAGGTCCCAGTTCCTGGCTTTTTCCCAGCCCCAACCCCAGACATTGTGGGCATTTGAGGGGGAAAAAACAGTGAATGGGAGTTCTGTTTCTTTCTCTTACTTTCTCTGCCTCTTAAAATAATAATGATAGTGGCAATGATGATACTAATGGGAGTAAACGACTTGCATATATCAGAAAGTTTAAAGTATACTCAAATATGTGGTATATAAAGGTTGAGTGAACCCTTTCATGTCTTGTGTATACGGTAGATCAGAAATTTTTCATAGAATTATTTGTTTCTGTTTCCAAACCATAATGAAGGCATCAATTTGTTAGATAAGTAAATTTTATAAATATCAGACAATCTTTCCCTAAACAAGCCTGTTACAGATTTGCCAAATGAGCAGCATCCAGATTTGTTTTGTTTTGAACTTCACATGCCACTCTGTGGTAAAGATGTTGACACATGTGAAACTGGCCAAGAAGCAGACTGTCAGTTGTGGTAGCAAAGGCCAAGAACCCACCAAAAACAACTTCAAGTGGAGGACCAGCTTCCAATCCAAAATCGCTCATTATTTTTGATTTTGTCATGAATGTGTACACCAAATATTTCTAAGTCAGTGACTAACATGATATAAAAAAAAAGTTGGGAAATAGAATAGGTTTCAGTGTGAACCAGTAGATGTGGTAGTCAATTATGGGTCTGTTATCTGACTCTTACTGAAAGATGAGAAAAGATTGAATTAGGACAGAAGAAAAGGAAAGACTCCAAAGACCTAAAAGAGAGTAGTTTATGGGACTTAGTGCTCAGAAGAATCTTGGTCTTGAAGAAAGGGAATCTCAAGACAACTGATTTTTCTAGGTTGATTGGCTGATTGATGATGCTGTTTATTAGTCAAGCAAAGACAATAACTAGGAAAAACAACTTTGGAAAAGAATGCCATGAGTTCAGTTTTTATATTTAAGTCTGAAGAGCTAGTAGCACCTACATTTAGGTTTGAATTTAAAGATGATATTATTTTTAAAAACTAAGGAAGTAAATTAACAAGATGTTTCTTAATCCCACAGGCAACAGAAAGATGAGAATGAAAAGTAATCAAAGTATGATATTTATGTGAATAGCATTTCCATGCTCATAATAAATACTGAATATTCACTTACCAAAAATTATCAATTATAGCATAGCTTTTTAATTGTCCAAGGGTGAGTATGAGTGTGTGTGTGTGCACATGCGTACGTGCAATGATGAGAGACTGGGAATGGGTAATAATCAAAGTTTCATCTTTCATAGAACAAAGTCAATAATTACATGACTGAAAGATCAAGAAGAAATAGCATAAGCATGGTACTAGAAATAACCACTGAAAGAGAGGGCTAAGAGTGTTGCCTCCAAAGTGCAGTGAACAGAAAAGGATAGGCAGAGTCCTGTTTGGCTCTTTGCACCATAAAACGTTCCTAATTGTGATCTTCACAAAGAAATCAAGTAAAATAACAAGCGTGTTTACAACAGAAGAAAAGAGTTTCCTGGAAATTAGATTGTGAAAGAATGAAAATTCAATAAAATTTGATATTCTCAGCAAGTTGAGTAGTGAAGAGAAGGCAAGTGATGGAGTAGTTATAGACGCTTGATGAAAAGATAAGTTTGAAAGAAGATTGAGAGTTGGCTTGATTATGATTCCTTAGGTAGCTGAGTAATGGTAATTATATTTATCTAGGAAAGGAGTTATCTCAAAGGGAGGGAAGCAGTAAGGAGAGCCTGCTGAGGGGAGAGGGAATAAATGAGGTACCCAAAGCTCAGATGACGTAGTAGACATTGAAATCAAAAGCAGGATTAAAGGGTCAGCTTTAAAAAAAGAACAGGGCTGGTTTTTTTCTTATAATGTGGAAGTGAAGCATGGCAGAATTAGCATATAGATGCTCATGATGAAAGAAAGGATTCATAGCAGGATTCATGACTAATCATTTATATTTTCTCACTGGCACTGGTACCTACAAATGAGGTGCAAGGCTGACATTTTTGATGGCCTGAGTTTGGGATTACCTACTGAAAACTCAAAATATATGTATGAGTCAGTATGGACCGTCATGACAGCCCTGCCAAGGGGAGGCCTAAACAACAGAAATTAGCCTTCCTATAGTTCTGGAGCCTAGAATCTCCCATCAAGATGCTGGCAGGGTTTTGTTCCTACTAAAGTTCTCCTCCACCACAGACGGCCACCTTCTGCCTACATACTCACACGGGGAGAGGGGGAAAGAGACACAAGAGCAATAAAGCTAACTCTTCTGTCTCTTCTGATAAGGACACTAATCCTGTCTGATAAGGACTCTTCCTTTATGACCCTATTTGTCTTTCATTGCCCTCTTACTCCACATACAGTCACATTGGGCATTAGGACATCAATATTAAGTTTTTCAGGGACACAGTTTAGTCTACAGTATGTACAGTTCAATACTGTAGTGTGAGTTCTCTTTCCATACCAGAAAGCAGGAGAGATTGTTTAATTGATTCTTTGGTGGGGAGTGGGGAGGGAGATTAGCAGGACAGACTTAAATGGTGTGTTAAGGTGATAATACATTGAAAAGCTACTGAAAATATGATTAGAATGGCTGATATTGTGTTTCAAGAATGGGATAAAGGGAAGATAGGGTGGAGAGTAGAAGACTTAGTTGCAAATTCTCCTTGAGGTCAGAGGCCAGAGCACAGATGGCAGCTGTTTTCTAATATGCCATCTGGAGGCATCGTCCTGACACCTGGGGACATAGCTGTGTGCTTCTAGAATTGCAATTCTAATATTGTAAATGAATGATTATGAAATCACACGAAGGATTTAGGTTCAACAGTGATAACCATCATTCTTTTTTTTTTGCTTTTAGACGACTGAACACGTTGAACAAGTGTGCCTCCATGAAACTTGATGTGAACATCCAAAGGAAGAAGGTAAGTGCTCACATGTCATGGAGATTAGGACAATACTCGCAGAAGTGGCTTGGCACACACAGGTTAAAGTGACAGTAACCCAAGCCAAAATTAGGAAATGTACCCTCCGTCCCTGTTTGTTGTTCAACATTATCATCACTCCATTACATTCTTCAACATTAACATTACTATGGCTGTTATAAGTAAGCCCACAGTAAATTCAAGCTGTTTATTTTACTTGTTCATTTGCTTTAAAATTTTTTTAATCAGAGGGTTTGCATTGAGATATAAAATATGTCAACTGTTTGTGACAGCCCTTGAGAAGTGGGTTTAGTCATAAATATCAACCCCATCTGAAACTCAAATCCTCCACAGGGATTAGTGGATTAAGACAGTTCAGAAAAAGATCTAAGGGCCCATGCCAAGTGTCTTCTGGTTCATTCTTTCCAGCAGCATTTTATTTCAAGCACAGATCAAACGTGCATTCCTTCTCAGACAGATTACTTTAATATGGTATTTGAGGGACAGTATAATCGCAAAACACTGAGCCAGCCTCATCCTTCCCCATTATCTTCCCTCACGAGGAATTTGGTGCATCTTTAAAGGCCTTCGCGTCTTTTCCCTTTTGGATTTTGCAGCTGCTGTCCCCTCTGTATGAAAAAGACTGGAAAACTCAGTTTTCAAATAAGCTTTGCAGGTTGATCACTGCCAAAGTGAAATGTGAAATGCTCCAAATCCAAAACTTTTTGAGAGTCTTCAGCACTCAGAAAGGGTAGAATTTCAGATCTCTGTGATTCTCAGTTTCACATTTGAGTTGCTCACCCATTTTAGTCTATGCAAATATTCCAAGACCTGAAAAACTCCAAAAGTCTCAAACACATCTGGCCCCAGGGATTTTTGAATAAGGATGACTCAGCCTGTACTTTGCGTACCTGTTTCTTACGTGAGCAAAGGAAACCTTGAACAGGCTAAGTCTCTTGCCTATACTCTTTTAGCTGACAGTGGAGCAGGCTTTTAACTTCAGGTAGATCTAATTCCAAAACCAAGGTGCCTGACCACTGTGCTGTGCTGACGCCCTTTCTCACTGAACAGATCGTTTTGTAGAAAACTTTGAATTAAGATCATGAACTTCTCGCTCTCTCTCTCTTTTTCATTTAACTTCTCCACTATGTGACAAGTCTCAATATTTTTGAAGAGGCAAGAGAAAGCATGTCTGAGTCAAAGAAAGTGTTCTTTATTCTGATTCACACAGAGAAATCATTAAATCCAATGGATTTTGAGTCATTCCTGAGTAACCTAATCTTTAAAAATAACTGTAACCTGAATTTCTGTTCTGAAATAGCAGCTCTCTTCTCCTCAAAAAAAAAAAAAATTGAATGGATTTTGTTTGACCTCACCTTAAAAACAATTTAGTGTGTGAACTGTGAACCAAAGATTTAAGTTAAGGAGGTAAAAGGTGAAAAACAATATCCAGAGAAGTATTAAAACATGAGAAATTTGTCCAGGCCAAAGACAAATTGAAAATGGGGGAATCAACATCCCAACAGCTGTCTAGCTGAATAGCCCTCTTGAGAAGCATACATTACTATTTGAAGCATGAAGGTCAGATGTTGTTTTGATTGTAACACATGGTTCTTATTAAGCTCAATGCAGTCATGCTTGTGTGACCCAAGTGAAGTCCTCAGATGGCTGATGCATACAGCTGCCTGCCTAGATATGTAGCTGTAGTGTACCACAGGAGAAAATGGCACAGCTGGGAAGTCTCTGCTTGGACGCCCATGTCACCCATCACAGTGCCTGGACTGAAGGCTGTGCTCCACTTCTGCTTCCAGCTTCCTGCTGATGTGAACCCTGGCAGCAGCAGCTGATGGCAACAGGACTACTACCCACATAGCAGGTGCAGATTCAGTTCAGGACTCCTAGCTTTGGTCTGGCTCAGCTGCTGGCTATTGTGGGCATTTTGGGAAATAAATCAACAAATAGAAGTTTCTCTCTCTCTCTCTCTCTCTCTCTCTCTCTGTCGGTCTGCACGTGTTGTGTGTGTCCCTGCCTTTAAAATAAACACAAGTTAAAAAAAAAAATCTACCTAATGCTTTTTCCTCCATGGAGTACAGTGACTGCCTATTTTTTTCTCTGGCAGCTGCGTTTCAAAACCCCAAGCCAGATATCCATGAATAATAGTTGTTAGGTTCTTCATGTGTTGTCTTTTCAAAGATCCCATGGAAACTGGTCATGAGGGAATTCTGGCATTCCTAATGTATTCCTCAGATTGGATATGATAGCACAAACCTTCATAGCTGCTCCTTAGCTATAGACCTCACAAATGCATGCCCTTGAGTGAAATATTGATTTCACATTTGTACGTTGGAGAGTCATGGCCCAGCTTTTTAAATAAATGGTTCCAGCGTGTCCCATTTGTGCAGCTCCATCATGACAGGCTGGGACCAGCCTGGATGTGGGAAGCTTCGCTAAGCAATGAGACCCATTCTTGTGTTCCAGTCTTGCATGAGCCTAGGCTGGTGCTTTAGTTTTATTTTTCCTGCAAGGAAAAGGGGAAGAAAAGCTGAGTAGAAGTGAGGATGAGGTCAAATGATCAAAAATAGAAAGTGAGACGTGAGAACTGAGCATCCTGAGAAGCTTCAGCCAACTATGGAATTCATTTATTTAGAGTGAAAATAAGCAGCATTTCCTCTCAGTTTGTCCCCATTTTAAGTGATTTGAGAAACAGAAATAGATTCCCGATCTCCAGTCTGTAGAGCCCCAAATGTGTTTAATGCTGCAAGTAGACTCCAAATGCCTTGGCTGCCTGGGGGCCATGATGTTTCCTCTGCCTTTGTGACTTATGCTTGTGACATGGGCTTGCTTAGCAGTGTGTGTGTGTGTGGTTGGCAAAGGCTGGCGGGGGCTCCTGTCTTGCAGATAGGAGAAGGCTCCTGTCTTCTCATCTTTGATGCCACATCACAGATACAGACATCAAAGGGCCCATGCCACACAGAAAGAACAGAGGCAGGATGATACCGTGGCCCCATGTAACTCCACTTCACCTTCCAAAAATATTCTGAAGTTTGTTGAAGTTCAAGTATAATTTTGGCCGTTGGTGTAAGACCTGGAAAACTCTCATATCTCTTTAGCAAGGCATGCTGTTAGCTTTTTTGCTGGTTTTAGAGAGGAGTGCTTCTTGCCACCTACAAGAATACTGCAAAAAGCTCATGAAAATGAAATTAAAGAATGTCTATTTTGGTGCAAAAACTTTCTGGGAGTCACGAATAGATTTTGTTCATATTCTGCATTTCTCATAAGCTTTTTGAAAGTTCTGTGTATACGAAAATCCACGGTATGTTTGTTATCTTAATGGCAATTTTTACTGAATTCTGAACATTTGGGTGGGCTGACCGAATGATAAAAAGGAAAATTTCCCCAACATGTGAGTCAGTAAGTGAAGCCTTCTCACTCCTGGGTTAGGCGTGTAAAGCACCCAAGGAAATGTTGCATTGACACCTGCCCCCACTCAAAGTAATATCTCACTGTCTTGAAGAAATCCTCTGAAAACAAATAAACTTATCTTTATTATTTGTTTATTTGAGAGACAGAGAACTTCCAGCCACTGATGCCTCCCAAAATGTCCCAAACCGCTGGAGGTCCAATAGTGAGATGAAGGGACTCAATCCAAGTCCCCCAGATGTATGCCAGGAACCCCATCACTTCACCCGTCCTCACCATCTCCCAGGGCGTGCGTTAGGATGCCGCAACCAGAAGAAGGAGCAGAGCCTGCATTCGTGAGACACATCCCAATTGGAGTCTTACCCTAAACCAAACTAAAAACCCCAAGAAAGTGATCATTTAAGGTTCTCAGACCATCTTGTTTGTTAGGGGAACCGTGTTTTCCATCACACTGAAGGACTTAGTGAAAGTCAGCCCCCAGGCATTTCAGCAGAGCCTGAGGGCACCCGCAGCTGGGCGGCCTGTGGCTGCAGGCTGTTCAGTCCCCACAGCTTGCCAAGTGGCACATTCCTGCCTCAGCCCCCCCGGCTGACTCAGCCACTCTGCTCCACTTTACTTGATGGGAAGATATGCTTCCAAATTTTTGTACAACTGCGGATTAGCTGACTCGCAGCTGTGGATTCATGTGGGCTCCTATTGTCCATGTAAAGATTTGGTCAAATTCTTTTTTTGTTTTTTAAAGCGAAAGGAAAAAAAAAAAAACCCTCTCCTGAGGCTCTGGTTGGCATCTGTTTCTGAGGACTATATAGTTTCAATGAAGAATGAAAGAATGTTCTCACATTTAGAAAAAGCCCAACATCAGAGGTTCATCCGAATTAAAAAACTGTGAGGCACAAGCAAGCTGTTAATCCTAAGAAAAAAAAGTTTCCTCTTCATTATTACCTATAAAATCCTGCCCTGATGATGCCCTGTGATGCCGCTGAGGCTCCCCCGTCGGAGGGTCCCCCGCGTGATGGGGAAGATTAGAGTTTAGGTGATGTGGTTGTTATGTAAAGAAGAAGTCAAGCCTGTGGACTCAGTCAAGTTTTCTGTGATATGAGGAAACAGAAAGACACATATGGGGCCCTTTCCTATCTATCCTCTTTCTACAGCATTAAGAGAAGGTTTTGGTTAAAAAAAAAAAAAAAGTTATGGTTTTTAGAAGGTGAAGAGCAACAAAGAATCAATGGCTACCCTCACCTTGCAGCCAGCACCTCCCCTTTGGCATGTCAGAGGAGCTGCAGCTGTTGACAAGGTCTCCCCAAGATCCCTACCACCTCTCTCACTAAGACACCTCTTATTAGATGTCTTGGCAGCTGCAAACAGCAAAGTACAGTGAGAGAAAGCCCAGATGTGTAGCCATTATAGTACTCTCACTTGGCTGGGAGTATTAACAGTCTTGGATTGCAACTAATTATCCTTGAATTTTAGTAGAAGTTTTGAGTTGTGAGGACTCCACCAGCCGGCTTTCCAGTCTCCCATTACCTCACTGCAAGACTTACTTCTCAGAACATCCTTCACAATTCCCTTCGCTTCTTCCT